GATCCTGACAAATGGACATGACCTAGATATCGGGGACCCAGTGCTGTCTGCAGGAGGTGGATAAGACTCCTGGGAAAGGCAAGTATACATTTGCAGTCGTACTGCTGCACTGTCTGAGGAGGAAAGCTTGGAAGTGGGAACGTGCATGGGAAGGGGTATGTGTGTGTGCACGTACACACTTGTGCACACATCTGTGCGCTTGGTAGCAAAGCAGTGCTCTGCCAACAAATTCTGTTATTTTTCTTTCCCAGGATCTCTCCTGTTCTTGACAGTAGAACCTTTTGGGGAGATGCTCCTCCCTCTATTCTCATGATACAGAGTCTAATGAGTGTGGTTTATCACACATACACAAGGATGGGCAGTAATGCCATCCAGGACAATAAGAATCCTTTCTTAGAGTTTTCTAATCCTAGAGAGGAAAAGCACAACCTCTTGAGTGACAAGGCTGTAGATGTGAGTGAAGCCATTGGCATCTTGAGAGGTGGCTGTTCTGTAGGAGAAGGGAATGAAGACAGCACACTGAGAGAAGCCGAGAGATGGAGAAGCCACAGGTGGACATCCTGGTGGCAGTCAGCTGCTTTGTGATCTATGGACACTTCTGCCCTTCCCTTCTGCTTTTGCCTTTGTCTTGTGGGTTTGTGCCTTTTATTTTCTTCTTTTTTAAAAATTTTTTATTGTGGTAAGAACACACACAATCTACTCTCTTAAAAAAATTTTAGGTGTATGTTAGAGTATTTTTAAGTATAAGCACAAGGTTGTACACCAGATCTTTGGAACCTTTTCATCGTGCTTAACTGGGTTTGTACTTTTAAAAGTTAGATTTTAATACCTGAAGTTAAAAGAGTTAAAACTACTATACCAATCAAATGCACCAAGCCAAAAGTTTCATACTGGAGGTTTTTGTTGCTGCCAACCTTATATGAAATGCCCACAGAATTGTAAACATTTGTACCTGTATAAATAATTAAAGCCAAAGCTTTAGAAGACATTAAAAACATTAGCATCATTTTTCATATTGGTCTGAATATAAGGTATGGCTTAAATAGTACAATAGTACAGAGCATAACAACATAATCACACTCTGAACCCTGGGGAAGAGGGACAGAAGCAAGCCTTGGAGGAAGTCGGATAGTGGAGGGGCATTTTAAGTCTCTGTTTTAAAGTTTTGAAAGTTTGTTTGTTTTTATGTGTACTGTTCTGATTCTTTAACAGAAAGCAAATTTCCAGAAACTACTTAGTCTAAGACAAAGATGAAATTTCTTTTCTACTGCAGAAATGTCAATAAAAATATTACAGAGGCAAATCCCTAGAGTAGAAGCTTTCAGGAACATAATTTACAGTTTCTCACATGATTGCCAGCATCTTTGCCATTTATAAGGTTTTCTTCTGTACAAAGTAACCATTACATTTGAGATCATCTTTTATTTGGACTAATCAAGTACTGTTTTCCACCAATGGGGTTATCACTATTTTTTAAAAAAATATTTATTTATTTATTTATTTATTTGACTGCACCAGGTCTTAGTTGTGGCAGGTGGGCTCCTTAGTTGCAGCTTGCTGGCTCCTTAGCTGCGGCACGTGGGCTCCTTAGTTGCAGCAGGGGGGCTTCCTTAGTTGTGGCTCCAGGGTTCCTTAGTTGCAGCTTGCCAGCTCCTTAGCTGCAGCACGTGGGCTCCTTAGTTGCGGCAGGTGGGCTCCCTTAGTTGCGGCTCCAGGGCTCCTTAGCTGCGGCTTGCCAGCTCTTAGTTGTGGCAGGTGGGCTCCTTTGTTGCAGCTCACTGGTTCCTTAGTTGTGGCACATGGGCTCCTTAGTTATAGCATGTGAACTCTTAGTTGTGGCATGCATGTGGGATCTAGTTCCCTGACCAGGGATTGAACCTGGGCCCCCTGCATTGGGAGCATGGAGTCTTATCCACTGTGCCACCAGGTAAGTCCTGGGTTATCACTAGTTTTAAATGCACAGCTTATCAAAGTTAGAAACTGGAGCTCTTAACTTTTACCTGCATTTTTATTACTGTGCATGTTCTTGTCTGATTCAGTGATTTATATCTTATGCTGAGTTCTAAAGAAAACCTCTTATTTCTGGAGAGTAGCTTTGTGCCCCTTGAGAATTCTCTGCCCCAGCAGAGGAAGGATCTATGACTGGGATGACCTGCTGGGTTCCTGGCTTTCATCAGACTCTGGAGACAAAGGTCTGACGACATTCAGAGGAGAAAATAAAAACTGATGAGTCCTCGAGGAAGTAAATAGGATACTACCTGAAATTTATACCATTTAGAGACTGGGGCCATGAAGAGCCAAGTCTATGAACTACACAGTTCATGTCCATATGTTCTATCATAATCTCATCCTGAAAGTAAATGAAATCTCCAAAATTTCTAAGGACAATATTGTTAGGACAGGGGCATCACGTTCCCATGTAGCCTCTCCTCCAGCAACTACTCTTCTTGATAAGTTACAGAGCTCCGCCTTTGTTTCGGTCTCCTAAGGGCTTTGGCTACTCTTGGTCCGCTGGTCAGCCCGTGGAGAGTCTGTGACAACCACCTCTAGCATTGACTGAGCCTACCTAGAAAGAGATGCTAGCTGAAATGCTGACTTTAAAATAAAATCTTAACCCAGGCTATACTATATTATCTGAAACAACTTTCAGAAATGGTAGATATTTTGTGACTGACAATTACAGCTGGCCACTGACTACTGAGCTGGGGCTTCATACAGCAACATCAAGCCTAAAGGTTAGTAGTCCTTCTAGAGAGGAGCTGTGATGACTACTGCTCCCAAGTCCCTTCTTTCAGTCTTCTCAAGCAGTAAAACATCATCCAGAAATATGCACTCCCTCCAACAGCCTCTAGGAGCTACATTCAGCTGTGGTCACTGAATGCGTGGTGCCCTTGTTTTTGTTTTTGTTTTTTTGCGGTACACGGACCTCTCACTGTTGTGGCCTCTCCCATTGCAGAGCACAGGCTCCGGACGCGCAGGCTCAGCGGCCATGGCTCACGGGCCCAGCCGCTCCGCGGCATGTGGGATCTTCCCGGACTGGGGCACGAACCCGTGTCCCCTGCATCAGCAGGCGGACTCTCAACCACTGCGCCACCAGGGAAGCCTGCATGGTGCCCTTGATCACCATGCACTTAGGGCCCTCAGGGACTCAGGTGACTCAAAGTGACAAAAGTAGTAAATGAAGAGAACTCAGGTGAAGTGAAACCCTAACACATGGCATTGCTAAAACTAACATAAAACCTACAAGCTGACTTCTTTCAATAATCTACCTTGTCTTCCTAGTTTTGAAACAGAAACATTCCTGAGTTGATATTTAGATTCGAGGTCTGGGTCTGAATGCTATGGGTGTTTAACATAAAAAGTTAAGGCCAGCAAGGGTGGTTGTAAAATCTAGGCAGGTGGGAGAGGTTTAATTGCTTTGTACTCTTTCATAAGCCTCTGTTCTTCCTTCAGAGGGCATTAGCCATAAATTATTCTCTCTTCCCCACCTGTTCTCTCGTTACAGTTTACTTCCTAAATAATGACAACAGTATGTTACATTCTCACATAAACCCCACAACACAGATACTATTATTCTCCTCATTCTACAGATAAACCAGCAAAGATAAGAATCTTGTTCAAGGTCAGGTGATAGCCAGGATTCAAATGCACTCTGGCTCAGAAGTCTGTGCTCAGTACAGACGGTGCTCATACCACTCAATTCTGCCCAAAAGAAGAGGCTCGGCTACTGTCCTGCTAGTAGTGTCCCAACAAGGCTGCAGACAAGTACTCTCACCTGGTCAGGGTCTTGGGTCTCCACGTGGATAACACTGTATTATCAAGCCACTCTCATTTGTTAAGTCCCTAAATCCTCTATTCCAGGGTGGAGGATTCCTGTAGTTTACTCCTTCGCTTCTAAGGCTATTTCCCAAATCTGCTTGATGATAAGAATCGCCTGGAATACTTGTTAAAAGTGTAGCTTCCCAGGATCTCAGGATCCACTGGGTCTGATGTGATCTCAGAAATGGGTATGTTTGGCAAGTGACCCGGGTGATTCTTCTCATCACTCAAGCTCGGGAAACATTGCCCTAGGAGTTTTACGCAATGGAACAAACATAGTTGATCTTAAGTATTATATATTATATATATTAAGTCAAAGTATTATTAAGTAAATAACATTGCTATAGCTAAATTGATCCAAAGCAATCGGTACAGATGGTTTTCTTCAGGTTTTGCAGTACAAAGTGCTTTTCTTCAGGAAGGACTTGGGAAGTGGGTTGGAATGTCTTCATTCTTTTTTGTTTTGTTTTTTTTTTTGAGTGATGACTCAAAAAAAATTCTTAGAAAGAATTCTTTACTGGTTGTGCCTTGAGGGACTTTCTGCATTGCTCTGGTGAGGGAACAGCTTAAATCAGACAGAAAGCAAACCATTTCACACAGATCTTTTAAGTCCTGCCTAAGAGAATTCTGTAGGAGAGTAAACCAAGTAAAGAGGAGAAAGGAGGAGACTGTTCTAGTGCCTTGAAAGACCCTAAGGAAACTCCCTGTATAACTAAGAGAGGCACTCGGGCTTCTCAGCTTAAATGTTTATGAATTCGATGTAGAATGACTTAGAATATAAGGAATTAGCTCAATTTACAGAGTCAAATCAGGAAGCAGAAATGATCTTTGATGCTTCAAGAACTCTAAGGCAAAACTGTTGAAATTCGTGCTCATCAAAATATTGTTTGATGTTAAAAAAAAGAGCTCAAACATGCCTAATCTGCTTTGACACTATGTTCACTGCTTGTCACAAATGGAGAGCTTCCACCTCAGGCACCACTCCAAAGCAGCCTCCTTCAGTTGCTATATTTATAAGTTAGTAGGGAAAAAAAGGAAGATAAAAAGTCGAAAATAATATAAAAAGACAGTCAAAGGAGGGGAGGAAAGCCAGTCCTTTCTGCCCTGTGGAATGCTCTGCTTCCCAGGCCAGAGGCCAGTACCCAACTGTGAGCGGCAACTGCCGCACAAGCATCACGTACCTCTTGGTGGGAGTGGGCGCCCCAGAGGACATGTGGCTCACCACGGTGTCATTCACATTCGTCAGAGGGCGAGGAGGACTGAAAAGAAAAGACATTGACATTATATTAATAATTACCAGTGAGGCTAGGGGAAACAAATGAAAAAGTGATAAGGGCAAAGGACCAACTATCATTTCCTGATAAGCACAGTGGGACCCATAGGGAGTGGGGGTAGAAATTGATACTTTCAGCCTAAGTAAACTCAACAAGAAGGTCCTCTCGCACAAAGCCAAAGGACCCCAGAGCCATGTGCTACCCGGACAGGAGTAACGAACTGTACCCACACGGCTACAGGGATATAACTCCAGTGGCTCTTGTTTTACAGTTTTAGCACACAAGAATCTGCATTCTGCATTTCAGTTGTTTACAGGATCGCTAGGTGTGTGGCATCTGTGGTGTGTTACAAAGGTCACAACAGCAACATGCATGTTTTTCCTGAGATTTGGTTAGAGCTCACTGTCTTCCCTCAGATTTAGTTTGTATACTTTTTACCGAAACAATTAAATTGTTAAATACTAAGTTCTTTTATTAATCCTTTACTAGAATCTTAACAATGAGTTCATACCTGTACTCTGATTAGAAGGTTTTCTTTCATAAACTAATCCAAATTTAAATTTGAAGTAAGCATTTTTGATAACTTGTCTTAGGCGGCTGGTTTTCTGGACTCAAGGTCTCTTTCATCCTCTTGTGAGAGTCTTGAATGAACAACTCCAAAATTATCAAAAAGAATCTGTGATTCTGCCTTTCAGCCATTCTTCAGCCCCTCTCCTTCCCCACCAGGTTCAGTTACAAAGGGCTTCTGTCTTGCACTTGGAACCACATGACTATTGCTAAATGCTCCTCCTGGGAAATCTCTCACTTCCTCTCCTGAACTGAAAGAAGTACTTTTCAGAGAAATTTGTCCATCAGGAGCAGAAAAGTGAAACAGAAAAGTCCTTCTCTCATATTTAAGTGTTTGGGAACTACCTCCTGGCTCCTCCTTATCTCTACGAGCTGAGTTAACTATGAAATTGTTTTTTAGAGGTTATACTCCGCAAGTCCTGGTGAACATTAAGGGGCCAGAACCTTTATTGTTTCTGCAGGTTTCATAGTCCATTCAAACACAGGCTCAAGGGAAAATTTCCAGGTAGATCCAATGTACTCAGAGAAAAGTTTAAGAGGGATGGATGGATGGATCGACCTCTACATCTATCTATCTCTACCCTCCTTTTTAAAAAAACCAACTTCACTTCTGGGTAGGGAAATATTTTTAATGATTTCTCATTTAATGGAGAGGATCAAAGATGGGAAGTAATCTGCATGTCTCTTGATTTTTAAGCCACAGCAGTATGCTTATTGTCACACATTCCTCCCTTTGTGTGACAAAGTAAGACATTCAGAATTGAAATATGCCTTTCTAGGCTAGAATTCAATTCCATGTTATTTATCTCACTACCTACTTTCCAGGCAGCTATCCAATTTTGCCTGCAAACTTTCAAGCCTAAAGGTAGTGCTGTGCTGAGATATAATCAATTAATCAACTGTTTTAGGTTGATTAATAACAGAAGTAAACACAAACTAGCTTCATTTTAGCCCTAAATTTATATTTTTGCCTCTGATTCTTTTAAATCCATTGTCCAAAGGGAACAAGGAGACAATGCCTATGAAAGAAACAAATGCAGCATAGTAACTTTTCATACGGAAGGCACCAGAAACATTCTGGTCCTGCAAACACAATGGCCTTTGCTTCTTTAATATACTATTATTAGCAACCCATTTCCAAAACAAGATAAGGACATGTTCATGTTGATTTCAGAACTTATGTAGTTACCCAGTATATTTCAATATTGAAGATACTACTGCATTCAATTTCCTTTCTGACATTCTCCGAGGAAAAATGACAATCGGAAAAAAAAGTTTTTTAATCCCCTAAGCGTGGATCCATGTGATAAAATCCCATGATTTGTAGCATTTTGTTTGGTCTGATGCCACAGAAGTCTTTAATAATTATCTCTATCTCTTGGTAGACATCATGATCAATTATTATCTTACAGCACACATATCAAAGCCTCTTCTCTAATACTCAAAACCAGACAGTGATGATTACATTGTAAGTTGTAAACTAATCATAACTGCGCCCAAATTTCATACCATTTCTGAACTCCTAATGTTTTGTTAGGGAAATAGGTATGTGTTTATAGTCCAAGATGAAAGAGGCCTGAAAATTTAAAGGGTGTCTTTCCTGCAGAATCTACCACTAGGCCCACAATTCACTGTGAAAGCCAACAGCTTAGATGTGGTCTTAGGAGATGTAATACACCAAAAATGACTTCTGGCTTAAGAAAAAAAAAGACTGCTTCTAGGTGTGAAGCAGACATTAATGGTTCCAGTTACAGAAACTTACAAAGCAGTAGAATTGACACAACTCACCACATCAGTTTTGTTGATCTTTAACATTCAAAACCTGCTGAATACCTTGAACATGTTACCAGACGTTCTATATCTTCCATTGGTGAAGATCTCAGCAAGGTATTTTTAGACACTAATGAGTCGCATGATACCCAAGTGATCACCAACCATCACTTGGTACAGAGATTTGAGAGGTTCCTTTTGTTAATAAGACAGGCCAATTTTTTGGATGAGGAGATAGAAACAGATGAATGATCTAGATAGAAGGTAATTTGCTAGTTAGAAAAGGTGGGTATAAAAAGAAGACTTAGAATTTGTTCTTTTTTTTAAATATTTTTTTTAGAATCTGCTAATTTTTTTTTCTTTCGTATTTTTGGCGGTGCCGTGAGGCTTGTGGGATCTTAGCTCCCTGACCAGGGATTGAACCTGAGCCATTGGCAGTGAAAAGTGCCAAGTCCTAACCACTGGACCGCCAGGGAATTCCCAAGAGAATTTGTTAATTCTTAATCAAAAGGAAAGAGGCATGCCTCCTGGGTGCCTACTCATACAAGATAAGTAGGACTATCTTTATCTTAATAACCTAACTATATGTATGTAAACAAATCATCACAATTCAAAGTAGTGAGAGCAGCAACACAAGTACACACAAAGTGTTGTGGAGTCACAGATGAAGAGCTGTTACTCCTGCCTGGAAGAACAAGGGGTATAGTCAGGTGTAAGTCACATTGAGGAGAGAGTTTTTCAGATATAGAAAAAAGTTAAGGGCAACTTAGAAGAAATGGTATGGAAAAAGGCACAAAAATCCAAAAGTACATGGCATATTTGGGTGTAACTTATTTGGCTAGACTCAAAGGCCTTGGGAGGGGAGCAGTTGAAAATGCATCTGGAAAGGGAGCTGAGGGCCCGGATGTGAACGACACCTGTTCTATCACAAGCAAAGAGGTTTGGACTTTATACCGTAGGCAGTGGGGGAAGCATTAGAACTTTTTAGGCCAAAGGATGATGTGACTATAACAGGCTTTTGAAATGATAACTCCAGAAGCTTGTAAAATATTGGTTTTAATCCAGGTGTGCATTGGAATCATCTGGGAAGTTTTTCATATAATGAGATATCCAAGCTCTACCCTCAATTTAGTGAATCTGAATCTCTAGGGGCAAGAGGATTCTTTTTAATGTACATCCCCATTTAAAACTCATTTATGTGGAGAGGTTTGGAAGGAGGAGGGAATGGAAGCTGGGACTTCAATGAAGAGGTTATGGCAATTGTCCAGATCAGTGATTATGAGGGTGGACAGTGGTAGTTAAGATGGGGAACAGACAAAAGGGAAAGCACTGTGCAGGTAATATGGATAAGATGTGGTGACAGATTAAGTACACACGGTTAGTGAATAAAGAATAACTGAGATTTTTACCTCAACTACTGGGTAGATAGTGATATATCCAAAGTAGGGAACACAAGAGTAGGAAACAGGATTTGGTGTTGGACTGGTGGGAGTAGAAAGAATGAGTAGGAAGGTAAGGGTGAACGATTTCAATTGTGAAGTCACTGGATCTGAAGTGGCATTGGTAAGCACAGGTAAATGATATCTTACCTGCTTCCAAGTAGTTGGAAATAAGAGAATGGAACCCAGGTGAGATGTCAACTTTGAAAATATTTGAGTGTCATCATTTAAATTGTAGCTGTTCATTTGAATACTTTGATCATTATAAAGATGGATTTTAATTTACTTTTTTTAGGTGGAGCAGGATAAGTTTGGGAAAATATCCAGTAATAGGGTGGCTTAGATAATAGGTATAGAGCTTCTGGTTACTAGTTAAGACAAAACTCCTATTAGAGGGCAGAGTCAAGATGGCAGTGTGGGAAGACACCGAGTTAGAGTCTCCCCACAACTAGGGCACCTGCCGGCTGCTGGTGGAAAACCCTGACACCCAAGGAGACTGGAGGAACCCCCAGGTGAACCAGTAGGACTTTGGGGAACTGAGTAGGGAGGAGAAGCAGTGGTCAAACAGGATCGGCACCCCTGAGCCAGGGAGATCAGAAGAGGCAGGTGGGAGGGGCCCTCCGGGAGAAGCGGAGGGCAATCACCCGGCCCACTGGGCCTGGGGGGGCCTGCTGAGCTCCCAGTCCAGTCCCCTGCCCTCTGAGACCAGGGTTGGGGGGCACACCTGGGGCCCTTCTGTTCCTTGAGCCTAAGCCCTACCCCCCATAGCCCCTAGGGCCTTTTCCAGCCCTGTGGGTTCTAAGCATAGGCCCCACCTACCCAAACCTCACCCTTGCTCAGGCCCCGCCCTCCACAGCCAAGGCCTTTTCCCCGTTTTTTGTTTTCTCTTTTCTCTCCTCTTCTTCTTTACTATTACGGTACCGTTGTACCTTCCGGTTGTTGATTCATCTATAGTTTTATTTTTATTTCTAACATATGTTAGTTTCCTAGTCTAATTTTATTTTTTACTTTGTTATTGTTCTTTTTCCTTTTTTTGCCACCCCATGTGGCTTGCGGGATCTTGGTTCACGAGCCGGGGGTCGGGCCAAAGCTCCTGCAGTGGGAGCTCGGTGTCAGAACCACTGGACTAACAGAGAACCTCAGACTGCAGGTAATATTCACCAGAGTGAGGTCTCATGGATGTCCTCATTTCAGCACCAAGACCCAACT